TGGGCCATGTTCCCCTGGTGATGCTGCCCCCTTCATCCATTCTGGGGTACCCCCTGCGCTGCCGCTCTATCGGCGTGGCCCCGTCCCAGTCCCTTCACTCGGCACTTGCTGCACGGTCACCTCCGTGCGGCAAAGGCGAGTGTCACCTACCTCCCTTCTCGGCCCCCCGGCCGCACCCCCAAGCCCCGTCCCTCGGGGCTGGGCTTTCACGCTGTCCTCCTGGGCCTGTCCTTGCTCTGGGTTCTCCCTTGAGCTCGCTGGCTCCTGATCCGGGCTGGATCTAGGGAGGGTGTGGGCCTCCGGGGCTGCTGCTGACACTGCCCCCGCTGGCGGCACTGGGGTTCAGGTGGATTTTGGGGCGGTGTACAGGGGTGCCCTTTGAGTGGCTGACCAGGTTTTCTCTTTGCCCGTCTATGCATTTCCCTAGGTCTGACCCAGCTCAGCAACCTGCTCCTGGGGGTCCCGAAGGGGGAGCGCCTGGTGGGGGCCCCCCCGGGCCACCCCCCAATCTGAGCAGTAACCGTCGACTGCAACAGACGCAGGCCCAAGTGGAGGAGGTTTGTAGCTCTGCTGGCCGTCCTGGCTTCCCGTAGGCCGCCTGGACTCTTCTGCCGCTCTGCAGTGGTGATGTTCTTGACAAGCTTCTGTAGCTGAGAGGGTGGATGTTCTTGTCATGCTAATACTGGGAATGCTTTAATACTCAAAATACAGTGGCAGACCTGTAAAGAGGATGGAGGAGAGGTTGCCTTATGTTTAAAAGCTGCTTAATTCCAGATATGACTTCTAAGAAGCAGGCCTTTTTGGTGCTTTGTATCGTGTGTCATGCATCTATTATGGAAATAAAGCTATACAGCATCCAGAGCAGCTCTCAATCCCTGCCAGCTGCTTCAAGGGTCTGCGTGCAGGCTTAGGGCGTGATGTGCCTGACTTTCTAGTGTCAGTGTCAGTGGCGTGGCTGCTGGCATGCAGTAACGCCTGTGTGCCTCACTGGGGCAGCAACATGTAGCTCTATAAGTTATCTTTGCAGTTATCGGGGAGTGAGTGTGTGTAAGTGGTAACCTCTCATGAGAGGGGTGGCTTCGGCTTGCTGGATTTGAGAGCTTTTAAAAACAAAGGAGAATACGGGGCTGAGGACATGGTTTAAGTGTACTTAAACTGATACTTTAGCAGGACGTCTAGGATTTTTTCCACACTTTGAAGTAGGCAGTGTCTGGAAAGCTGTTTCTTATCCTGATCTTTTTGCCTTGTTTGGGGATTTTAATTGCATATCAGTGTTAGTTATTGGCCAAGTTACTTTTGCAACTCTTTACCAATACAACTACTGCTACTCTTGTTCCTTCTGCAGGTGGTTGATATAATGCGTGTGAATGTAGACAAGGTGCTGGAACGAGACCAGAAACTGTCAGAGCTCGATGACCGGGCAGATGCACTTCAGGCTGGTGCCTCACAATTCGAAAGCAGTGCGGCAAAACTCAAAAGGAAGTACTGGTGGAAGAACTGCAAGGTGAGTTTCCTAGTGCCGTTATCCCCTTCATTAGGGGGAAATTGGGCTAGTCTTCTGCAGGGCTTTGGAGCGGATAGCTGGGGCTTAATAACTATTTTGGAAAGACTTTGAGGCTTGGCTGCCCTGCCTGCAGGGTCTGGCTTATATTCCCTGGCTGTCAGGGAAGTTGTGAACTTGTCCATCCGTTCTGAGTATTGCTCTTTGACAATATCTCTCTCTCCAGATGATGATCATGATGGGAGTGATTTGTGCCATTGTGGTGGTGGTGATTGTAAGTAAGTACTGAAAAGCCCAGGATCAGAGGTGAAGAAATACCATCAGTAGAGTGCTCTAAACCCTTTTTGGTTTGAGGTCTGGAGGGTCTTGGTTGCACAAGTGTTAGCTTCAGTCCTTGGGGAAGGGAGGTGGTGGTGCTGGAACTCCCACACTTGTGGAAATGCTATGCTTTACATAGTAATGGAAGGAATTGGGGGTGGCCATCACTGTAGAAATGGGAAATTCTGTCTGCCAGGTCAGGCAAACCTGTAAGTATGAGGGGCACTTACCCTGGAGTGGGTGGGCTGGCAAGTCCCTTCCCTGGTGGGGAGTCTGGAAGTCTCTGGGGGACCTTTGGTGTAACTTGCCCTTTTGTTCTTTCCTTTTTTTTCCCTATTGCTTTGTCTCCAGTCTACTTTTTTACTTGAATGTAGCTCCTTCAGTCTACAGCCTACTGTCCCCTGTCACCTTGCCTGTCTCTTCTTGCTCCTGAATCTTTCCTTCCCTTCCACCTAGCTTCTTCATTAACTTCTTTATTGGTTTTAATTTGTCTTCTGTATAGGACTCTAAAGCACTCTACTGAACATGGTTAGACTCTTCAACAGCTGCTGCAGCTTTAGGGAGGGTCATCTGAGTTTAGAGGAAAGGGAAGTAGAGGAGGAGTGGGTAGCTAATGCTCCTGCTCTTCTGCAGGGAATTTTTGTGGTTTATTTTTGGCTGTGAGCTTGTCAAATAGTGCCTGTGTGGACTCTAGCAAAATAAGAATGCCTTAATGCAGTGCCTTTGGGGATGAAGGACTCCAGCATGTGAGATTCTTTAGTTTTCTGCCTAGAAAGAGTGGCAGCATGACTTAAGCTTTTCATTGAGCTTCTGAAATAAAGGCTAGTTTGTGTTGGTCAGTGGCTGTGAGCCATCTGTCTGAGCTAGATATAGTCATCTAGATTTCTCTAGCCATGGAGAGATGAGCACTTGAAGAAACTATTTATTCTGCCTGTCCTTATTTTCAGATGACTTGCTGTCTGAACATGGCCATTTCAGTTATTATAAAGGAGAGCCTACATTATTACCTCAGTGAACTGCAGGAGACTATACACAGTTAAGTGAAAGGAGTTTTTTTTACTATCTAGGAGGCATCAGTGGGAGTAAAATCTCCTGCCAGAAGGAACAAAGAAACAACAGTAAGGAGTCTGGTGGGGGGTGTCAAATATTCCTTTCATCTATGCAGACACAAGCCAGGACTCTGTGGCTTTCTACTGTCTTGTAGCTTTCTGGAAGACATTAGGGGGGGTGGTGGAGTGGGAGTGGGTGTTTTGCTTTCATGTCACTGGGTTAAGTGTCAAAGGAAGACCACCACTATATAGCAGGTGGAGGTGAAGGAGACTGGAGGTATTCCAGATGAAACTGAATGAGCAACACAGCTTTCTGATTACAGATACCTGTTCTGTTTCTGCTACGACAAAGTCCTAACTTTTGGCAGGAGTTAAAAAAAATACTTGGAATGGATAGCTAGGGATGCAAAGGGAAATGCTGCTCTGGGCATGGGTATTATGAAGAGACATCAGATGTCCCAGTTTGGCAGATTAGATCACTAGAGATCTTGCCTATCAAACTGAAATCCTCTTACTTGCTATGGGCTCTCTTGAATTTAGATCCAAGGTGGCCTCTGCTGGAAGTAAACTTGCAGCATGGAATGCTGTGGCTTTCTGTAAGCAATCTCCTCGTTCTCCTCCTTCGAATATAACAAGAGCTGTGAATTGCCTGAATGTGTTTTCAAACCTGGGGTTAAATGAGCTGCCGTTTTCCTCAGTTTCTGCAGTCTCTTATGAGAATTGTGCATCTTGCCCTTTTTTTACAAGCTGAGCTGTAGCCTGTAAACTAAACTGGAAAGAGGGCACTACTTTAATTTAGGAAGCTCTACCTGGGTTCTAGAATACACTGGGATCTGCCTAGGCTTAAAGGGGATGTGGGGAGGTAGGGAAGAACATCACTGGAGTTCCCAGATGGGAGTGAAGTACGAAAGCTGGGAGGAGCAGGTGCTTTTTGTTTCATTGGGTGTGCTGGGGAAGCCCCTTTCCCCCTCACAGGGCATCTGGGAAGGGGCTAGGTTTTGCATGCTCACTTCCATGCCCCAGCTTTTCATTTGCGCTGAACTCATCTCCCTGCAATTCCATCCCTCTCCACCTTGGGTGAGGGCAGAGATGAAGATCTGGAGTGAAGCGGCCCTCATCCCCTGAGCACTTTCCTAATTCCCTGTGGAAGTGAGATGTGATGGACGGTCAGAAGTGCATCTACTGAAGAGGAGCCAGGGCCTGCTTGTACTACTTACTGCTATCATTTTAGGGGGCAGGCATACAAGCTTGGGGCCCCCAGACCAGCATTTCTCTTGAACTCTTCTAAACAAGCCGTTGGTGCCCCATTCCTCCTGGTCCTCTGGGGGCTGAGGTCCCCCTAGGCTGTCTCTTCCATTTCTTTCTCTTAGATGTTGTATGTTGCCTCTTCTGCTCCCTTTCCCCTCCTTTGTGTCTCTATGCATGGGCAAAAAAAAAATAAATAAATCACCAAGGCCCTCTGACTAAAAGCAAGGGACTCTGCTGTCCACAGCATTACAGCCACCACTCACGCACGTGCAGTTTATTTCCTTCCTCTATAAACACGACTGTAATCTCTTCTGGCATGTTATAGTAATCAGCTCATGTACTTTAAATGGTCTCTAAGAAACACAATTCACCACCTTACTGAGTCTGTCTGGTCTGTCAGTGGGTGGGGAGGGGTTGGGATACCAAAATTTTGGAACTATTTTATTTTTTGGGTCACTTCCATACCCTGTGTACCCCTGAAGTCCTGGTTCTCAAAGCAGTGGGTGGTTTGCCATTGCAATGATGGTAGTTCCAGTTGTACTGAAACCCTGTGCTGGACTGACTCTGTGGTAAGTCTATAACAAGATGTATGGACCAGCAGCTCTGGGGGAAGAGGCTGCCCAATCCAACTTTTATCCACCCCATGTCCAGCCACTGTGCAATTCATGGGGAGGTAGTCCCCTGAATAGGAAGAAGTGTTGCTGGTAGCTCTGGTTCCTTGGGCTGTGCTGTCTTTGGGTTTCAATAACCTGTCCTGAGGTTCTTGAACCCAGAAAGCCTTTCTCTGTTGGTGTTGGGACATGAGTTCCTGATCCAAATGAAGACCTCCAAGAGTAGGATGCTGTTCACAGTACATCTTGGAGCATGACTGGAGTAAAGGTAAGTGCCCCCTTGTTCTTTACACTCATTAAAAAGAAATGTTGGAGTTTTGTCCAGTGCTGACTTATTTTAAAATGAAGTACTTGTGCCCTCCTTATATCTGCCCCTGCTTACAAACTTTAGGATGTAAAACGGTACTCCTTGTGGTTCTCTTACAATCAATCTTTGTCCAGTCTTAAACATCACCAAAATCATACCAGAACAAGGTATGGTCAGTGGTGAATTTGGAGCAGTGCAGCTAATCCTATCAAAGAGGAAAGCCTTTCTGGGAAAGGAAGATGGGTGTTTGGACTGGCTGGGAGATGGAAGCAGCATGTACAGTCTAAACTTCAGCACAGCTCAAGCCTGCACAACCTGCATGAACTAGTTGTGCTACAATTCCTGCCAAGTTGTGTGGTGTCCTCCTGTTGATTCTCAGCCTTGTTCATGTAGAGGGGTAGGAAAACCTTTTTTTTGAAACAGATGTTTCCAGATGGTTGACTACACAGTGTCTAAGTCCCTAGCCAAACCAAGGGACTCAGATGCTCGCTCTCCAAAGCTGTCTGGCTGCTCTGGAGCACAGAGATGGGGCTGAACACACTGCTGAAAGTTGCCCCAGGGTTGTGCCCAATTCATGAGTCATGTTGTGCAAGTTTGCAAAAGAAGAATTGCATGTCTTAACTATAAATTCTCCTATAGGTGTTTAAAGTACCATGCTTTGCTGGGAGCTTAACTTCTGAGGTGCCATCCTTTAAACCATCAGCACCTCTGCTGCTCCTGCGAAATCTGTTATCCTGGACAAAACATGATGCACTAAAAGCAAGATCAAGGCTTTGGCAAACAGTAGTTCTTTAAAAGTATAATTAGAAATTCAAGCTCTGTCTTTGGACATGCAACTCCCATTTCAACTGTATCATCCTGATGCCTTCAGATTTGATGGAGCCTCGGCACTACTGCTCTTAAATGGAGGTTTCTAGATGCCCTAGGCCTTGCTCTGGTCTTTCTTGAGGCTTCTATGTACTAATTGAAGGTGACTGTATGTTCTCACCAGCAACGGAGATGTTGGTTTCTTGTTTCATCTGGAGAGTAACCAAGTGGTAGTGGGGAAGACACAAAACATGAGTTTTTTCAGAGTAGTAATGCAGCATCAACACTTGTTTAACAGACCTAGCTTCCCTGTGAAGTGAGAGAGGTCTCTGCCTTGAAACATCCACTGGGGTTGGAAGCCTTAACTTGGTGAAGAGAGGCAATAATGGGGCAGTACACAGGTTTTATCTTTGTTATGACATCTAAGCAAATAATTACTCTGAGAGATATAGCAGATAAGGATATAGGTTTTGCAAATTAGGCAACTCAGCTGTGTCTGTTGGATACATGAGTTCAGCCCAGTGTTTCTTGCAGGTTCCTTACAATGCTTCCTCTTGGAAGATGAAAGTGGGTGCCTTCACAAAACTTCCTGTTTACGGATCAAAATAAAGTTGCACTTCAGCTGCCATACTTCTGATAATATTTCACCTATTTTTTTGCTGTAGAGCAAGTTATTAAAAGCACTTTTATTTGCTCCCCAGTTTCTGAATATGAACAGCCCTTTAACATCCTTTCCTTCAGTGCATAGACACACAGAATTATTCTTGCAGAGGCCAAAATGACTCTTCATATTCTCTGCTGCCAGGCTTCTTTTCCAAAAGCATTTGTACTTTTTTTTTATATCTGCCATAATCTCCAGATACTAAGCTGGTTTTCATAGTTCATTGCCTTTATGCACATGCTTGTAAGCTGAAGGCACTTTCCTCCTGTGCTCACGAGACCCTTTGAAATGTTGCACATTGGTAAGGATGCAGAACTGCAAGGCTGAACACAGCACATGGAGCTGCCCACTTCAGTGCTGCTTACTCCTGCCAACCAAACCGCTCTAATACTGCAACTTAACCAGAAAAGGATTTTTCTCCTCCTGCACTTCCCCCTTCAAGCACTTGTATCCCTACTTCCCTGCCTTCCCCCTGCATGAGAGATGCTCCTAGTCCAAAAAGACTCTACTTGCTTTTCTTCAGTGTCCTATGACCTACAGTTGCTCCTTGTGTGTTTTCTATATCCTCCAAATAACTGCGCTATCCTTCTAGTGTGCCTATGACCACTGAGCACTTATATTGCCTCAAATTTCTCTTGCACAAATTCACACCAGCTCAGACCTTTAATTTGCCTTTTGTTGACTGGCGAATTCCTCTAAATGCACTTTTCCCCTTTTTCTCTAGTATTTCACATTCTCAGTGGAACACTCAATTTTCTCCGCTCTCACTCCAGCACTGCTGGACTCACATTTTATTTTCAGCCAGACTGAGCTCACTATGCATCTGCTGAGCTGGTAATCTGTGGTCTTGTCAGCCTACAAGAAGTATGGCAGTATATGGGAGCAACACCTGGTTTCTCCAAAGACGGCAATTTTTGCACTGATCCTCAGGACAGAGAGGGCCAATTTATTTACCAACCTGTAGAACAACTTCATGTTTGTACAAGCTTTTAACTCTGGATTTACAGCTACCCAGAATGGGGCTGTTACTTTGAGTTCATCAATCAAAGCCCATTTTTTTTTGCATTTTAACACCTTTACAGAAGAGAGAAATGATACTGTGCAAGCTTTCCCTAGGGAGTACATAATCTTCTTCTACAGCTGTATTTCTTTATGATGTTAAAGAGAATTTAACATTTCAAGTAGTTATGCCTCTGATTTATCCTCCTTTAATTACCTACTTAACTATGCATGATGCAGTGGGTTGCATCAATTTTAGAGTTATCACAAGATACCATGTGATGTGAAGAGTATTTGTATACTCTGGAAAGACCATGCTTGATGTATGAATCATTGTACATTTGTGATATACAGAGACTCCTTTAGATGTTGCACCTGCTCTTTCTCCTTTCTTGATTTGGAGGTGGTTTTGTGAAGCAGACAGCTTTACGTGTCCAGTGTCAGGTTTTTGCTCACTCATGTGCTAGAAACTACCTAAGGCGGCAGTCTGTAGTACTGAATTCATGACCAAGAACTGGGCTATGTGTCCAGCATCCCAACTCCTCTATTCACATGCCATTCTTGTTTTAATTATTACCAAAGTTACGTTTTTGTTTTAGCGACTAAAACTGGCTTTTAACTCTGTCTCTTGGACAGTGTTTTTACAGAACATGAAAGTCCCTTCATTAAGACAACTTTGAGATTTCATTCTTTAATTACTCTCTCTCTTTTATTTCATTTAGAATCACCCACAAACACAGAAAGTGGATTTTTTTTTTCAGGTTTGTAGAAGTCCAGATTTTTTTTCCCCACACTTCTAAATGCCTGTGGTTGCAGGGCTCTCCCTCCTGCTCGACTGCCCCCGTTGCTGAAGGACACCTCCTGAATTGCTCACTTCGATTCCCAGCAGAGAGACATCATCCTCACTTTCAAACAAGAGTCATCAGCTGAGTACTGGGCTAAAGTCTGAAAAACCATTAATATTTGTGTATTAAAGAATATAGTGTTCATGTCTGTAAGGAGGAGAAAAATAACTCTGCTGGGAAGTGAAAAGCCCATTTAGGTAATTAAGGCAAGAGCAGCACAACAAGCATGTGTTTAACATCTCAAAGGGAAGAATTAGGCAACAGTTTATATACTGTAGTAAAATCTTCCATCTTCCCAAGGGCAGTGCATCTATCTTAATTTTTAAAATTTCTGAAGTTTTTCTTCTGTTATGATTAACTAGATTTTAAATTCAAAAGAGGCTGTTTGCAATGTGATTGGGTACACAGTGCCACAGGTCTTTGCCTAAACTATATGCCTAAATTCTGGTATCTGTGTTTGTGTCCGGTCAAGTGGATAATCCTGTTTGTTAAGGACATCACCCTTGCTCTCTTGATACCATATAAACTGCTGTGTAAACACCATTGCAGCAGAAGTCTGAGTATTTGTAAAATATAGTATGGCAAGCTTACTGCAAGAAATAAGTTGTGCTATTACGTGAAAATCCACAAATTAGTTCCTGAGAAGGGGACCATCTTTGTCCTGGGCTTGATTGCCTATGCAGTCCATTCCAATAGGCTAAAGCTTTATCTGAAAGGATTTTAAAGCCTGCAGCGTGTCTCCTGTGCTTCACAATCCTCAGTAGAGCCTCTGTGGGTGAACCAGAGAAGGGATGAGAGCAGCAGAGCAGGCACCGACCTGTGCTATTCTGACCCTCTTCTGCAGGATCTCGGGGCAGCACGGATACTGCCTGGGATGCTTCTGAGGGTGTGCAGAGCCACTTTTTTCCACTCCTATGGAAACAGCAAATAGCTGGACATACACATGTATGCTGTATCACAAGGAAGGAGACTGCTATACAGCAAAGATCTACAAAGTGCCACATAGGCAGCTTAAAAAGGGAGACCTTATTCTGCCGGGGTGTTTTGTCCTGACCTGAGAGTTGGCAGCAAGCATCAGTCACCTCCCCAGAGTATTGTGCATAATATAAATTGACTAATGTCAGTGGTTGTCATCTCTTAGGGCTATACAAGAGCAAGGAGAGGGTGGGTGGCTTGGTCTTTGGATCAAAGCTGGACATGAAGAACTAGGAGAGAGCAGTTTCCCACTTTACGGAAAGCTTAGCAAAGCTCAACCCGTGGAGAGACTTGTACCCCAGCTGAGATGCTGTTCCTGTGCCATGTCATACCACAGAGGCGGCCAGTCACACCTGCCAAACCTCTTTAATTAACAGCAGACCAGAACTGTGGCAGCATCCTTGTTGCAAGGAAAAGAAGGCATACATGCATGTGTAGCTGTGCACATGCAATGAGTGTAAGGAAACCAAGTTGACATCTCCCCCATACATACACTAGATCAACTCGCATCCCCGATGATCCCCGGAGCCATAGTATTTTATGAGACTGAACAATTAACCTACAGTAGTGAAAGTAATGAACCCAGGGCAACCACAGTGCAGTCTTCTGCTACAATCCAGGCAGAACACCCCAGAAATAAGGAAATACAGGTTCCACAGAGAAAGTGTGCAGACTCTGCTCCAATTGCCACCCATCCTAACTCATTCATGTCCCCCCTCACCATCCCTGTCCAGCGCACGTGGTTCCAGGCTGTTGTAGGATGGCAGCGTGGTCACCACAGCCTCAACAGTGAAGCGGTGTGGAGCACTGAGACTCGGCGCCTCATCTTGGAAAGTGGCATTATCCTGACTATTTGGAGGGGGTTCCTGTGGGGACAGCTGCTGCCGGGAACGGAACCAGCGTAAGGACAAGATGAAGGTGATGGCGATGAAATCCAGAATCAGCTCTGCAAGCTCCATCACAGACAGGACGGAGGAGCCAAACCAGAGGCTCCACTGGTTCCCAAGCTGGGACAGCAGAGTCACTACCTGCAAGTGATGGAGAAGGGACAGTGAGGACAGCCCTCGTTCCAGCCTTTTGCCTCCCTGCCTGCTCCCTCCAGTGGTGGCCCTGTGGGGCTGGGGGGATTCCTCCCACCCTGCCACAGTAAACAGACTCGATAGACAGCAATGCTGCTGGAACAGACCCCAGGGATATATCATGGGGGAATGGGTGGCTGGAGAGGACATGACAGTAAAGTGTGTACCGTGAAGGCTGGAGACTCCCCATTGGTCTTGTAGTTCCACTCCTCAAAAAAGATATTCACTTTGGCAACTCCGTTCCTGTAAATGAAAGACGGGGCTCAGTAACCCCAAATCCACAATCCCTGCATTACTTCACCAAGCTCAATTGTCATCTCTGTTCCCTTCTGCACCCTGTCCTCCTCCCACATATACCACCCAGAGGCTTTTCCCCATCTCCAAGTTCACTCATTCTGCACTAAATACAGTATTTGGTACTTACAGTGCACTTGTGACACTGCACTGTGAAACCCAATGTTTGTGGCATCCTACATTGACTAAGTACAAGCTCCTGCGTGGCTCTAATTCGCACACGCCCACTAGCCCTTACTGCAACTCCAGATCACACGGCAGCAGCCTGGCGATTATTATTTTCATACAAATGGCTGACCCTTTTCAGACTCTTCACTTGGATTCACAGTCCTTGTTGAAGTCTTAGTTTTTCTCTGCACTGACTCAAATCTACTGGCCTTGTCCATGGGTCCCTTGTCTAATCTCTTCACAAAAGGGATTTAATCTGAACTATGACCTCCCCCTGACACACACACTCCACTGCGATGATCTCTGGTGCGGGTGCAACCTGTGTTTAGGGGCTCTCACCTCTTGGATGTGATGTTGTATTTGTTCTGTTGTGAAAGCATGTAAAAAACCCAGTCCTGAAACAAAAGTGCAATATGTTGTGTTACATGGCCACAGTCACCTCCTGTAGGTTTAGTATGAGTTGAGGAAGGACTTAAATGGGAATTTGGAGCAGTGCTGGAGAGCCAGGACACCTTCTCCTTACCTCTGAGACAGCAGAAGGCCAGCGGGAATATCCAGCTGAGAGCCGATATTGTGTCATTCTGGAAGACAAGAGGCCATGTCAGCTGTCGAATCTGTAGGAGCCACAAGGCCGGGTCTCTCAATCCCCAGGGGCACCTGGAAACTCCCTCCCATGCTGAAGTCCTGCCCACTTCCTACTGAGCTTCTGCACAGTCCGCAGGAGCTCACCCCTGAGCCGACACTGATGCTCCTCAGCCGTTTCGGCTTCCTGAGGGGAGAAATACCATTTCGTGTAGCAGCTCAGCTGCTGACTCCAACTTTTGCCCTGGTCAGTGAATGCTTTCCAACATCTCCAGGATAAAAAAGTTCCCAGTCTACATGGCTGACAATCAAACTTACTTGCAAGGTTTCCGACATTTGTGGAAACAGCCCAGCACGTCAGCTTTGAATTCGGCCTGGAGTTTGTAATAGCAGTAGCCTGAGCAGCAGAGAAAGTAAATCCAGGTAAGCTCACAGTATCTGTATGCAAAAGGTGATGTGCAACAGCGAGGGGGATCTGGAGAAGGTCTCCTTCCACAAGCCCAGAGGGACTAACTATCCAAGACAAGAGTGTCTTTTGGATGTCCCACAGCAGGAAGCTCATTGAGGACAATGAGACGTACTGGGACATGAGGTGGGCCAAACAGCTTCAGGAGGGCATGAGCTTCACTGTTCCTCCTGTCCACTTACCCCAGGCCACGTGCTTTGTGTAGTCACAGTACTGTGCTCCATCAGGTAAGGGATAGAAGTAATACGCACAGCCGCAGCGCTCTACCATGTTGAGCTGAAAGCAGGAGCGAATGCAGACCTGGAGGGATATGAGGTGGGAAAGGTTGAGCAAGGGAATCAAGCCCACTGCAGCCTGTATCACATCATACTATTAGCAATGCCCACAGACAAGTGTGGCTGTTAGGAGACCGAGGCATTTCAGGAAAGGAGGGGAAACAAGCTGGCACAGGACCAAGGATAAAGAGTTACCTGCTCGGTGTAGCGAGACGAGTACAGGTTTTGCACTGGCACATCACTGCCATCCTCTGTGCAATCGCTGTAACTGCCCCCGAGACGCACAGTCATCTCCTAGAATAGCAGTCATTGCACAAAAGAACCGGCACTTTTCTGTCCTCTTTCTATACTTTCACATCACTCACTGCTTGTCCACTGATATCTGCTCTTCATGCTTTCCTCTGGATGCCAGCTCCTCCTGCTTTCCTCTATTTCATTGTTCACTGATAAATTGCAGCCAAACGCTTCTCACCTAGTCCAGTAAGCTCCTCTTCTTCCCATCTCTTCAGTCCATGCGATTTAATTCCCTCCCTTACACACACACATTGAGTCCCTGACAACCCATCTGTATCTATCCACCAAGTTAAACCTCCCCCATAACCTCACGTCCACAGCTCTTACCCCTGCTGCTCCCTCACCTTTCTCATGCTGATGGAGGTCTCGATGCCTGGGCGCACGTTGAAACCTCCGTCATCCATGAAGGCTGGCTCATTCTGATCATGGACCATGACCCTGGCTCCTGTCACTGTGGACAGCAGAGGGATGAAATCATTCTGTTCGGTGCGCACCACCAGAGAGAGACCTGAGGAAATGACAGAGAGCAAAAGAGGCCATGGCTGGTCATTGTGCAGGAGAGAAGAGAGAGCAGAATGGTTAGAAGTGGGTCACTAGGAGATAAAGGAAGAGAAACATCAACTAGGGATGCACCAAAGCTGGACAGCAATGGAGGGTGGCTGGAGAGAAACCAGAGACAAATCTGGAGGCTCCAGTTGAGGCCAGAGGAAACTGGATTTCTTTATTGTGGCTTAGAAAAAGCAGAACTGGGAACAGAGAAAGATTTCATGGAGAGACTCGGAGCCAGGTGGAAGATAAGCCTCGAGGTTGGGCCTGGAGAGTTTTCCAGAGGTTTAGAAACACAAGCAGGTCAGTTGCTGGCAACAGAGAAGTGGGGAAGGAGGAGGTCAAGACCAGGCTCTCAGGAGCATAGCACTAGAGCTCAACAGGGGAAGGAAGGGCTCGTGAAAGGCCAGCACAGGTCCAGAGGGAGCAGTGTACGTAAGAATCAGGCACTGATGAGAGAGAGATCAGAGATCAGTGCGGCAGCAACGTGGGACAGCCATGTCCATGAGACAAACATCTCCACATGGGTGAAAACAGAGCTTGGGTGAGATAGAGCAGGGCTGCAATCTGCCACCACCAGCAAAAGCCCAGCATGCCACCTGTAACTCCTCCTGCGAAAACAGAGCTCCTTACTTACCAGAGAGTGTCTCTCACCCACCGTTATTGATCCCAGGCAGTGAGGAGGTCCACAGGCTGCTGCTGTTGTCGTTAAAGGTATAGCAGTTCCCATACAAGGGGTGGTGGAAGTGGGTATAATTCCTGAGATGGGAACAGAAATGTTCACATAGGGTGAGAAGGGCAGCAAGACCAAGGGGAAGGGCTTTCTGAAGGGAACAGGTCTGTTTTCCACCTGCAGGGAGAGGGGCTTACAGCAGATGGGCAGTATTTGTTATGTAAACTTGCCTGAACAGGGAAAAGCTATTAAAATGTGCTGTAAAAAATGTCCTCAAGCTGGACAGGTTTTTACACCAGGTTATTCATACTCCTAGCTCCTGTGAGTCCAAATGGGTTTTAGCAGGACTAGCCATTACTGTACTATATTCCTAATATTGACAAAACTCTTAGCTCTTCCTACCCCTTTTCCTCTCTTGCTGATAGGTTTCTTTTCACTACCTCTTTGGGGCTTTTTGACCAGTAATAGCAACTGGGATACTGTTTTTACTGTCTTTTTGTAACAACCTGCTCTTGTCCTCCTGTGTGTGGAATGGTATGTACCACATAACCCCTGTGGAAGGCAGAATAAAGAGACTTCTACATCTGTATCCGCTCTGTGGTTTGTACCAGTATAACTATTTCCATTCTGTAAAATCCAGGAAAAAGAAGAAACCGTCCTCTAAGGACCATAGTTTCAGGTCACAGAAACTGTGACCCTAGTGAGTGCAACCCACAGGGAAGGCTCCTGAGTTAGTATCACCTGAGTTAATGGGAACTGAACAAGGATAATGGTTTTAAACTTGAAGAGGGTAGATTTAGATAAGACTTTCTTTACTGTGAGGGTGGTGAGGCACTGGCACAGGTTGCCCAGGGAAGTTGTGGATGCCCCCTCCTTGGAGGTGTTCAAGACCAGGCTGGACAGGGCTTTGGCCAACCTGGTCTGGTGGGAGGTGTCCTTCCCCGTGGCAGGGGGTTTGGACTGGATGAGCTTTAAGGTCCCTTCCAACCCAAACCATTCTGTGATTCTATGATTCTAAGGAAATATCTCCCCTTGGAAGAGAGGTTCTCTAATTCTTGAATTCCCCTCAGACCCAGCCACAAAACGGGGGCGAGGTGAGGAAGACACAGTGGGATGTGTCCACCACTTACGCCTTGTCGCATGTTGCTTCATTGAAGCGGCAAGCATAGATGAAATTCTCAAAGTCAGACTCGTCCAGGGCTTTTGCGTCAGGCATCTGCGCCAGGATATTGATATAGTGAAAGCTGTACCATTCCCGCACGGCATCCACCCCTGAGGAGTACGCCTGATGGAAACAGTCCTTGTTGTTTTCACTGCACTGTTAAGAAGAGAAGGAGAAAACCAGCCATGTCAGGGAAGTCTTTTCCGGGAGGTGAGGCTGCGGCTGTGGCTGAGCTGTGCTCCCCCAGCATGGGCAGGAGATGAATCCGAGGGAGTGGAAGAACTTCACAGGGCTCCTGCGCTCGACCAGAAGGTGATCAGCACGATAGGGAAAAGGGTAGCTCCTTGGTGGAAGGGAAACACCAGGTGAATGAGCAAGGCTGAATAAAACCCAGGAGGCAACAAGCCGCAGGGAGGTGTGCAAGGTGATCGACCACACATGCATTCTACAGGTATAAAACCAAAAGCTTTAAATTCTTGCATGAGGAGCCTTTCCTTCAGGGCGTGTCCAGAAAAACCTTTGTGATCCTGTGGGAACTCCAGTTAACTGGCAAGCAATTAGCTTCAGTCCTTCAGTGCCTTTTTAAATGCAAACACAGATACCCTAGGGTGAAGAAGCTGCTACCTAAGAGCCAATGCAGCCATGACTACATTTCATGTGGCCCAGAGCCATCCAATCCCTTTGCTATTACTGGGCAATACTGTGGTTGATGCTAATGAATGGTTCTCCAAAGGCAACTGCAAGGCTGATGTAGACTTCAGGAAGGACAAGGTTCCCCTGCTCAACCTAGGAAAAGACGGGAACTCACATGGACAGGTCTCCTGGGGCCTGCATGGATGGGGACAAGGCTTGGGGAGCAGGATTCAGCATTGGGCAGAAGATTCAGCTCTACCCTTATTTGTCATTAGCAAAAGCTAGTGCAGATTAATCAGACTTCTATGCAGGGAGGGGCATGGCCAGGGATCTAACAGGACAGAAGAAGCTAGGCAGGGACCAGAGTGGGTAGGGCAGAAAATATCTAGGGATCTCACCAGAACAAAGCCAATTTTCCAGTCATTCTTGTCCACTGAGGGACTGTTCTCTGGCAAGTTGACAAAGTTATCTCGCTTCTGCCTTCGCAGTGGATGGCGCCGGATGTGATGGAGCAGGCTCCTTGAGCTACGCTTTTGTGTGGACAGCGTGGACGAGTCACTTCGTGCCAGAGACATGTTGTAGTCATAAAGTTCTAGCAGTGTCTGATGGGTTATTTGGTCCAGCTTATCCAGCTTCTTCCGGATGGCGCTGTATCTATACCGTGGGGAGAGAGGAGCCTGCAGGTTTAGGACTGGTTGCACATAAGCAGCTTGGAATAAGACATGTGGCAAACAAAGTCTGCTGGTGTGATTCAGGACATTCATGCTGCCAGCTGAAAATCCAACCTCTTGCTGGAGGCTACCATTCTTGTAGGAGAGAAATAAACGCATCTGCTTTTGCCCTGTGGCAGTTTACAGTGCAGCCCTCTAACATACACCACCAAGTAGAGCTGCCTAAACTAACATGCCTTACTCTAAATGCCCTGCAGCAGCAAAGCCCTGTGAAAAGTGTCCTTTCCAGCAGCACTGCTGCTGAAAGGGACAGTCAAGAATCATGAGAACAGGAGTACGTGCTTTTATCCTACACCTGCAAAAGTCAAGGCAATCAACAGCTCTGAGAGTCTTTTTCTTACCTGTATGGATTGAGGGTGCACAGTGTCACGGCTGGGAAAGTCAGCCTGTCGGAGTTGAGGTTTAGGTTGAGGTTGACGGGGTAGCTGAAGTACTCCCTGTAGAGGATCCCAAACTGCCAGTACATTAAGCCGAAGGTGAGAAAGAAGAGAACGGACCAGAAGGCAGTCTTCATCTTATTCTTTTTGGAGCACACCAGGCGGATAGCCCCGTGGATGGTAGTGTTGCTGCAGAAGAACTGGAATAGCTCCTGGTAGGAACCGTAGAACTCGATGAGACCCTCCTGCTCCTCTTCTTTCTGCTGCTGCTCCTCTTCTTGCTTACAATGCTGCATTTTCTCCCCTTCTGGCATCTTCCCTGTCTTCATGGACCCACCCTATAGCAAAAACTCAGCGTTACGGCGTAGCCCTGCAAGACCGTGGCTCCAGAAAGCCGGCCATCACCATCTTCCCAAAACCTTGGTGCTTTCACCCCCTCCTCTCTGACCCCCATCCCAGTCTGCAGGTCCCCACCCGTCCATGCATCCCCCAGTCCTCCCCTCCCACAGGTGAGGGGAGGGGAGAGG